TTTTAAAATCGAAAAAAAAATTTGAAAAAAACGGAAATTTGGAAAGTTTTTTTTTTTTTTTTTTTTTTTTTTTTTTTCCGGATTCTATTAGTCTTTGGTTTGGTGGCTTAGTCAACTTATTATTTAGATTTAGTATATGTTTTTTTTGTCATTCATCCTCTTATCTGTTTTCACAAGAAGTCTCAGTAAGACATAACTGAACAAAAGCTGATAATGTGCTGGACATCTCTTTCCCTTTCTTGTGTTGTTTTTTTTATACAGTATAACCTGAGGTTTATATCACAAGTACATTTTCTTTGTCCAAGCTGCCTGTTATCTCTGTTTCGTGTTACTGAGTAATAGTGAGTCGCGCTGACTGAACGTGAAAAGAATGAGCGAGATGAAAAGTTCTGAGAAAGTTAACGCCTGTCAATAATTTAACAACCTTGGTCTAGTGTTTCACTCCAGGTTTGGCTTGGCTTTGTGCATAACACAGTGTGACCAAGCGTAACCGTGAAACTTAAGATTCTTTTTCCTAGACAGCTGTGGCGATTTTTTTTGTTTTGTTTTGTTTTCTCACTTAAAACGTTGAAAGTATCAGTTGTTTGTATCTACATCTAAAACGAGGATTAATTTAATATTGACAACTGGTTGTCGGCCACTAATATAATTTTCAGTTTGAACAATTTCGACTGTCTCACGAATAAAACACTGCATGGAATCAAAACACAGACAACTCCTCAGAATGGAAGTTATAAAAGGCAAGAGCAAAAATAGTACAATTCTGTTTATTTATTTTAAGAAAAATAATGAAAAAAATGGAAAATTTTAGAAAAAAAAAATGAGTAAAAATCTAAACCTTTAATTCAAACTGTGACGCATCATAGAGATGCACGCAAATGTCCAGAATTGGGAAATTTCAGAATTTTCTACTGTAACATCTAGAGTGTCGTTAGATTCCTGATGTTAGATTGCTTAAATCAGGGGTCCCCAAACTTTGTCCTGCGAGGGCCATATGACTGTTCCCTTTTCTGGTCGGGGGCCTGTCTTAGTTTTTCGAGAAAGAAACCTTAGTAAAGTTTTGTTGAAGGGGGGTGGGGCGGGGGGGGGGGGCTGGATTACTGCCGACGACATATTAGCGTTTGTAGATAGATTTTTACCCAGAATGCAAATAGAAAAAAACCGTGAGCGAAACGGTGACTGGTGCTGACTAGTATATATTCCATTGAGGGAAACTAAGTTTCATATCTGCTCAAGAGCCCCCCTGGTGGTTGAAGAAAAATCCACATATATATGAAAAAAACAAAAAACACTATTGGTCCGGGGCCGGACCAAATGAGGAGGCCTGCGGGCCCTAGTTTGGGGACCCCTGGCTTAAATCTTTAGTTCAGATTCCATCTTAGTGCATGTAATGACTCTGTTATGCCATGTGATTAATATCTTTTTACCATATTCAAATGTTGACCTGTTTTGAGTTTCACTTTCAGTGAAAGACTTAGTTAGGTAATATACCTCATCTAATATTGACTTTTCCCCCAATCTTACATGTAGACTCTACATGCACACATCGAATAGTTTTGCTCTGTTTATTTTCTTTAATTTGTAAAAAAAAAAAAAAAAAAAAAAAAAAAAACACCTCATTTTATTTGTTTGCAGGCTCCGATGTCTGTGCCCTTAAGTCACAGTTAATGTTTTGCCTGTCTAAGTAAATGTTCTGTGATCAGCTTCAAAGACAAACAGCAATGACCTTACAGCCATATTAGTCAGGTTTAACTCAAAACAATAACCCTGCCTGCTGACGACCCTTTAGTCTAGCTGAGCTGTGACCTTCTGAAGGGGAATGAACGAGGTTTAAGTGAGATAACGGATGTCACTCCTTGATAGTTTCCATTTTAGGGGATATTACTCATCGCTTAGTTGCACTGACAACCTGAGTTCAGTCAGTGCAAGTTCAGGAAATGTTTCACCCGTTTCCTTTGTTTTCTTCTTCCGTTTTTGACTGTGTGCCGTGATTCATTTGTCGCTTTTGTCTTTTCTTGCACTTGTAGTCGACTCGGTTACACAAGCAACCTGCCGGCTTGTGGCTAATTAAATGACCCCATCCAAAGAAACGGGGGGGGCTAGAGCCCATTAAGATGACGGTTTCGCTCGCCGTGACACGACAACAAATTGACCCCGGTTTAATTTCTCTGCCCACAGACGAGGACTGAACCCACCCCACAGAGTTAAGTCTATCTCCATGACAACATTCACGCAACAGGAAATCGAGTTCCTACAGAAACATGGCAATGAGGTAAGCCTGGTGGACTTCTGCTCTGCTGCATAAAACTTTGAATTACTCTTAAAGGCCTTGTTTCTTTTTGGTTTTACTTGATTTTAGGTGGAGATCACAATATGTTTTTTTTTTATTATTTTTTTTATGTATTAGCAAATGGTCTCTGTGTTTTATAAACGAACTGTGGTCCAAAGTACCACCTTTTTTTTTTATTAATCAATGCCATGGAGTTTCAGTATAAAAGGTTTGTCATCCAAGTACTCACCTATCTGCTCAAAACAGAGAAACCAAAGTCCATCATCACATTTGTGGTATAAAATAGATCAGTGCCACCAGGGACGCAGTTTATTACAAGCTGGAGCAAAATCATCCAGGAGGCAGACATGCTGGAGACTCAAGGTTGGGACTGATGCTTGTGTCCTCCAGGCTGTAAATATTACTCCATCATGTTGCTATTTTTTTTTTTTTTTCGTTCTGTTTTTGCACACTTTGATCCAGAGAAAAAAGCTGATACAACAGCTAGGGTTCAAATACCATCAGCTGTTGTATCTCAGCCTTCATGCTGTTTTGTCTTGTGCATCATGAATTTAGACATTCAGTTCTTGTTGGTTTTATCACCGTCACTACATGTCCATCTTGGTAAATTAGGATATAATTGAAAAAACTGATTTATTTCACATTTTCAGTCCAAGGGAACCTTTGTTGGAGAGTCATTCCAGACAGATTGGTGTAGCTGAAGTGTTTTATTTTTTGTTTTGTTTTTTCTCTCCATTTGTTTGGATGTTTTTGTCTGACACTTGATGACTTGATGAAAACTCAAAATTAAGTTTCTGCAAAAGTTTGAATATTATACCAATTAACAAGATTTCTAATACCAACTACCCCGATTGCAAAGTATGCGTGTGACCCGTATCGCACACGTCTTCAGTTCTTTTTGCATGGATTACTGCATTCATGCTGCATTGCATCAAAGTGACCAGCCTGCAGCTCTGCTACAGTCTTAAGAAAACCCAGGTTGCTTTTACAGTGGCCTTCAGCTCATGTGCATTGTGAGGTCCGATGTCTCGTCTTTTTCTGGACCGGAGCTCTTTCTGTATGAGATTGTGTGTGAGGTTTAAGTTAGGTGAATTTGTGAAATCAACTACAGTGACATTCTGTGTGGGAAGGCCCTGCTGAAAAATGAACTCAGCATCTCCATAGTGCTTGTCAGCAGAAGGAAGCATGTAGTGCACTAAAATTTCCTGCTCGACGGTTTTGCTGACTTTGGATTTTAGAACTGGACTAACAGCAGCTGATGAAATGGCTTACCAAATAATCATGGAGTCTGGAAACTTCACACTGACTTTGCTTCACAGGCTATTCAACAACACTGCATTTATCTTTGTTTCTTTCACTCCTTTTCCTTCCACTTAACTTTCCTCGAATAAGCACTGATGTAACAGCCAGACTTTTTTTTTTTTTTTTTACCAATAACGGTTTCTGGTTTACATTTATTATGGAGGGTATCATTAAATGTTTCCAAGACAACTGTCGAGTCAGCATTTTTCTCCATAGGGTGTAGTATGACCACACCTTAACATTTGTGATACATAAATAGGGATAATCTTCTAATTCCTTTTTGTTCAATTCAGTACTAGACCTGTAAAATAGGTCTGTTAAAATACACAAGTTAGTTTAAGGTGGTGCAGTAATTTTTTTTTTTTTTTTTTTTTGGCATCATTTTTAATTAGCATTATTAGGTAAGTTCTGTTATTATTTTTCTGTCACTAGATAACTTCTTAACAGTTAAAAGTACATTAATATTGTATAGTGGAGTTTACAAAATAAACTTGTAAGATGACACAACTTTCCTGCATTGATATGTTTCAGGTATGTAAACGGATCTGGCTCGGTCTTTATGACGACAGAACCTCATCAGTGCCAGACTTCAGAGAACCACAGAAAGTCAAGGAGTTCCTTCAAGAGAAATATGAGAAGAAGAGATGGTGAGTGAGCATCTCACGCTGGTGGTACATAGATCTGAATGAACAGATCTGAGAGCTGTGCTGACATGCAGCTTGTCTTTGAGCTTCCCTTATTTCTGGCCTGGAATGTCTCAAAGGGAGCTCATAGCACTCAGCCTCCAGCGAGCCACCAAACACTCCTCCTTTAGTGCACCGAATGTAGGTCGCTACAGACAAGCTGCTCTAAATATGCAATAGTGACTTCAAGTAGGTAAAGCATGAATTCAAATTAGACATCTTGTTCTTTAGCCCAGTCAGCATTATTCTCATATTAGTGTTATGGTTAACAGGACACGTTATCGAATGCAAACAAGAGGTTTGCTAATTGTCATTGTGAATTTTTGATTTGAAGAGGAAAGTAACGTTAAAATGAATACTTATGCAGTTACAGAGAAAAACAAGATGCACTAATAATATGTACTTTTTTTCCCCCCCTTGAGGTTTCATAGAGCAAACACACCTGATTATGAAAGAATTATTTTTAGCTCATCTTCAGATGTTTAGTCCCTGAAAGCCGACCAAAATGAGAGCAGTAGAGATGCACGCTGCATGCCTCAGCATGCCCTTTTGGAACAAACATGCATTTTTCTGAATCAGACACCCAATCACATAGCAGTGACAGTGTTTTACAGGTACAGATGTTATTTGTCCAATAATCACAGTTAATCTACTAGCACATCTTTAAATAAACTTTTATATTGAAAACTTATTATTCTGCAGAATACTGTTTTCTTTATGTTTGAGCTAAAAGTTTCCATCAATTTAGATTTTTTTTTTCTATTATTACAGTTTAGATATTTTAACATTAATGTGATGCATACATTATTTTCTTCCAAGGTATGTGCCTCCTGAACAAGCCAAGGTTGTGGCATCGGTCCATGCTTCCATCTCTGGTTCCTCAAACAGCAGCACCAACAGCACCCCAGAGGTCAGACCGCTTAAATCGCTGCTGGGGGATTCGGCCCCCAGTCTGCACCTGACTAAGAATACCCCACCAAATCAGGTGAATGTTTCACACGCGTGGACACAAACACTTTCTTGTAAAAGAGTAGTGCCTGACTTAAACAAAACAAGACTTAAAAACGAAATTCACCCCCCTCTGTCCCCAAAAACAACAAAAAAGAAAACAGTTGTATCATATCAAATTATCAAAGTAAACTGCAGCCCAAAAACTTTTGTAAGTTTACCCTTGGTAATTAAGGCAAAACTGCACAAAAAATAGTTGCATTAAAGTCCCAGAACCCTTTGAGTAGTCCGGTTTTGGCTTCACCTGGTTCAAATTCTGTGAAACAAAATCTCCTATCAAGCACCTTTTGCTATCAAATTATTAATTGGTTAATCCAAAAATTAATTAACAGATTATCGCTACACTTTATTGATGTTAAGTCAAACAAAAGGAGTGAATCTTTTCACATGTTGATGTTAGAAGTATTTTTTTTAACCTGCAGATACGTCCTTTGCTACAAATGATTAAGCATGCACTAAAGGAATGGTGTTCTTGCATTTCCAGCAATAAAATGTTTATTTATTTTAAAAAGTAATGGAATTATTTGTGTACTTGCATCTATTAACATATTTTAAATATTGTATAAAAAGACCTAAGTGGTTAAATAAAAAAAAAAACACTTGGAACGTGCCAATTTTTAAAAATACTGATTAATTGTCAGAATAATCAATAGAATAATCGATTACTAAAATAGTCATTTGGCGCTATCATAGTTACATGTTACAGAAAATACTTGGCTTTTGTTTGACACCAGTACATTTGACTGGGTCTCTTGCTAGTTTACAAATGTTACACTTTCCAAGAACTTCAGAAGATCTCTGTCAAGAGCTCCTGTGACAGATTTCTTACTTGCATGTTCAGCCTTGTGATTAGTTCCAGCAATTTCCAACAGCTGATGGGTGCGGCCATCTGGTTTGATTTCTGCCTATAATTTGTGCATCCAACTTTCCTCACTCTACCTGCTCCTTCCTGTGATCTCCAAATTAGTTTCCACAATAATTTAAATGATGTTTAAATTGCCCAGCCATTCCCAATTTTCAGCGTTGTGCTCATGGCAAAAAAACACAAAAAACATTTATTTTTATTTTTTTTCCATTTGGGTTTCTTGTCTCCAACAGTCTCCGGTAGTGAGCCGTGGGCAACACCATCAACAGCAGTTCCATGAAAAAAAGTTTGACCTCCTCAGTGACTTGGGTGGAGACATCTTTGCAGCCCCGACCAATGTGAACTCAGCCCCCGGCTCCGGCTTTGCTAACTTTGCACATTTCAACAGCCACACAAGTAAGTATCCAACTAATTATTGATTTATTTCATCGAAATGTTTCAGTAGTTGTTGGTAGCTAAAATATCTGATATATAAATGCACAGGAAAAAAAACTCTGAGATATTTTCAAATGCTATTATCTCAGTTGAAGGACTATCAAATTAAGTTGTATATTTGGTAGGCAGGTGAGTCCATGCCCACCAATAACTAGTAACATGACGTCAGTACGAGAGCCGTTTGCTTCTTTTTCGTGAATTCAATTTTTTTAGACTAATCTTTATGTGTCATTTCTGTTTCTGAATTTGTTCTCCAAAGAGAACAGATACTTGCGATGTTTTTGACCAGTTACCAAACAGTTTGCATCAGTGGGTTTTATTTTTTCCTCATGCTTGGACCAAAGTTTTCTTATGTAAAATGTTTCTGAAAAGCATTTCTTAGAACTACAGTTGGGTGCTGTTCCTGCTGTGCTGCTACAAAAAGAGGAACCAGGTCTGATGGTATAAAACAATACCTTTTAAAAAGGTTCCTGCTGTTCAAAATCGTCTTTACTGCCTATTGTGGGACACAGTGTACTTCTGGAAACTGCTGGGTTTTTCATGGTGCGATCACTGGTGCTCACAGACAGACAATGAAGATAGTGATTCATTTCGACAGCTTTATTCGAAAAAGAAGAAAAGAGTGGGCTGGGAAACAGGTTGCCCAGCGAACAACGTCTCAATACGTTACAATGTCCTTCAATAGACGTTTAAGTAATTTGAATGAAAATGTCAAATTAATACAATATTGGCTCATTACTGGTTGCACATTATATCTGTAATGTTCATTATTATAGCTTAAAGCTAAACCCAAAATTCAGGTTTTCGGAAAATTAAAATTATTAGGAAAGAAAAATGAAATGTTGACCCACATAAAAGCTGTCCATGTGCTGTATAGCGTATGTCCTTGGTATTTGGTTATGATTCCATTTGCATGAAGACTGCAGACATGCTGCATGACATGGAGGTGTTTGGCCTGTTGCTCTGCCAAGGTGTTCCTCCTCCTGATGGTGCTCTGCACATTCTTTATGGGGTTTAGGTCGAGCACGTTTGCTGACCAATCAAGCGCTGTGATACCATCGTCATTAAACCAGACATAGGCACTTTTAGTAGTTTGGGCAGGTGCCAAGAACTGCTGGATAATGAAATCTGAGTCTGCGGAAAGCCTCTCTGAAGTGGGAAGCGCAAGGTGTTCTGAAATTTCCCGGTAGCAGCTGTGCTGACTTTGGACTTGAGGAAGCTCAAGTCCCAAATCGCCTCCGGCAGTGGAAGCTTCTCTCTGAACTTTAAAGCAACTTGGATTCTCCTGCCTCCTGGCAGCTAACGCCCTTCGAGAGTCAAATGTTTCTTCAGCAGCTGCAGTGACGTCCACAAATCTTCTCATGGAAATCACTGGCACAAATATACAAATTGATTAATTCACAATGCATGTAGAATCACTGAAAAAGGTCAAATGTCACAATCTCATAAATATCCATTGCAGTAGCCCGTGTCGTGTTGTTTCTAAGTTCGTTCATCCACACTTTTATTACTCACTTTTATTTCTTTTTTTTTTCTTTGTTGCTCATCTGTTCATCTGAACATCACGTCATCAGCACCTGCAGCAGCACAGAATGTCAGCGCAGGGGCAGGATTTGCAAATTTCGATGCGTTTGGGAACACCCCAGCACCACAAGCGTCATTTCAGCCTCCAAATACAGGTAGAGCAAGCTCACTTCCACACTAAACACGAAACAATTGATATTGTTTCTCAAAGGCAAACACGCTAAATAGAAACAAGCTGTTTACCAGTCGCATATTGTGAGGCATGTTCTGTGTGAAATTCTTATTTCTGTTCACTTTGGCTGACCTAACATATATTCAGCTTACCAAACCTTTTGATCAGTCAGTTCTGTAAAACTTCTGCATACAAAATAAAATAACTGCATGCTTTCCAAGAGTGTGTGTGAATGGACCCTTTTTTCTCATTCACACACTCATACAATGAAAAACCTGCTACAGGAAGCTATTATGTGCTGCGTTGCCCCCTACTGGACGCATTGATTGTCTGTCTCTGTGTGAGTTGGTCTCTGTCATTTCTGTTAAACTTCTTACATTTTTCTTTTTTTTTTTTTTGCATCATTGTCTTTGTCACAAATGGTGAACGACCGTCTGTCCATCTTGTAGTACTCATGCATTTATGTCAACACTATCATTTTCACCACTTTTTTTTGGTTGTGTAATTTCTGTTCTGTCATCTTTTGCTGTTTATTGCTCCATTTTCCCTCCTTTTGATTTCTGTCTGCCAGCGTTCGCTGTGCTTTCATCCAGCCGCAGTGTGGGTGAGTTTACCGCTGCTCTGCCTCTCCAGAGTTCACACAGTAAGTCTCTCTGGGCTTGCCCCGACAACAGCTCCATCATCTCTGATGTGTTGTCCTCCCGACTTTCCTTTTCTTTTTTTTTTTCCTCAACGTAACTTGTGCCCCGTGTTGCTGCTTTTTTGTTTGGTTGTTGGAAATCTAGGATATCTAGAGTTCGGGCTTAAAATGGTAACAAAACTGCGAGAGATAGAGTTTGAAACTTCTGAATTAGCTTAACAGTGTTTGGTTAGTTCACGCTGGTGAAAGCAAGCAACAATAATTGCACAAGTGTTTTCTATTGATTCTTTGGCATTACTTTATATAAAAAAAGTTATTTTTCAAAAACTCTTAGTACCTTGTTATTGGTTTTACTACACAAAAATAATTTAACCTGATATATTTGCTATTTTGAGTTCCTATGGATTTTGTGACAAGCTCCTGAGATCTTCTTGTGTGCCGTCCCGTACTTTGTCTAAAACTTTCACTGGAACATGCTGAAGTCAGAAAAACACACACGCTAAATAAGCTGAGCATGACCTATCAGGTTTGATGGTGAAGGTATTTCTGTTCAAGTTTACTTTTTAAAAACCAACATTGTTGCAATCAGTGTTTCCCCCAAAACATAATGATGTGTGGGAATACATTCACCTGCAATCTGTGAATGTGTTCACAGTGTGTGAATACGCTGAAAAACTATGAGATCCAACAATTTGCAGTTTATTTACGCTTTTGACCAATCGGATCATTGGCGCACAGAGTACCGTTCTGTTACGGTTTCAGTGCATTAAATGAAGAGAAGGGAATTGTTACTGGCAAAAGGTTCAGGGTTAACAATGTATCTTCTAATACAGGTTGAAAGGAAAAAGCATCTTTGTTGATATTAAGTTGTACCAGTATTTCCCTTTGTTCAGTTTAATGTCCTTAAAAAAAAACAACACTGAGGCATTTGTCAAGTTTTTCCCCCTCCTATGCCACATTGATTAAAAAAATTTTTTTTTTTTTTACCCGTACCTGAGAGCTAAAATGCAGGTGGCATGTCTGACAGAGCCTCAAAATCCTTCCACACATTGTCTTTACTTTAACCTCTGAAGCTGCAGAGCTTCAGAGGTTAAAGTTATTGTGGGCAAACATTGCCCACTTTCTTTCAAGTGTTGCTGGTCTTCCTTCCTCAGCATGGCTCAATCCCCCCTGTGCCCTCACCACACACACATGCACACACACACACACACACACACACACACACACACACACACACACGCACACACACACACACACACTCCTCCCTCCTCTCCCCCCCACCGCTCTGTTCTGATCTTTTGTCTCAAAATTTCCAATCAAAGCTTTCCTTATGACCTTTTAATTTCTCTCTTCCATGCAGGTAGCGCCTCAGGGGGACTAGCAAATGCCAATTTTGCAAATTTTGACAACTTCCCCAAATCGTGTAGTGCTGACTTTGGATCCTTCAGTTCCTCCTCCCAGAGTAACTCCACGAGAGCTGACAGAGACGTTGTACAGAGTACTAACGTTCCCATCGATAGATACGCAGCCCTGGCTGACCTGGATAACATGTTTAGCTCTGCCAAAACAGAGGAAGGTAAACCTTTATGGCCCAGCCTGTTTTGTAGATTTTAGCTGCCAGGACAACAGGATCATATGAAAGCAATAAAGAATTTGCTTATGCTCTCAAGGATTGAACCCCCCGAGGATTTCTTTCTTGTCCAGGCCGGGTCATGCACAGACGCTTTAAAACAAGGGCAGATTCTTTATATTGTTGTACTGACTTTGACATGTTCAAGGAAACATCGAAATTTGATCATTGTTTTATTGTAAATCAATGATCAGTTTCATTTACGGCATGTTTGTTTTTCATCCATAAGCATTATTCATTAACCTAAACAACGACCACATGCTGCTGCTTTCTGTCCTCACTCTAAAAAGTGCCATCTGTTTGAACAATTTATCGACACGGTCGAATTCTGGCACTAAAGCATCTCCGAGTTGGTTCGGGCTGATTTAATTTTAACTTATTTTCTTTTAAATATTTTCACTTTTTTTTTTGCCAATAACTGACTATTGTTCCCCATTTTTAATAGGTTAAATATGGCAGCTCTTGGGACCTTTTGGTTTTGTGTCTTTCAGAGTTGACAAACTTTTTTTATTTTATTTTTTTATTTTTCCCTGCGAGGTAAATTCAACTCTGCTCTTTTCTCATGTGCTTCTCTTTCAGGGGGTGGTATTGCTGGAGGCGTGAGCTCTGCTGCTGCTGCAGCCTCAGCAGGAGTTGCCGGTTTGCCTCAGAAGCAGTCAGCAGGCATTGCTGCAGGCGACCGTTACGCTGCTCTAGCGGAGCTCGATACCGTCTTCAGCTCCTCAGCACCTGCCACCAGTGTTTACAACACCTCTAGCACTTCCCAAGGGTAGGATCCAGCACAAACCGCTCACACATCTGAGAAGGGCACTGGTTGATACATTTTTCTTTATTTTTTATGTGCAACTATCTTGATGTTTTTTGGGGGGGGTTTTGTTCGTGTGCATTTGTGTTTTTATTTATGCATATTGTCTATGAAGAAGTTTTTATGTTTAATGGCTATTATAGATTAGGTTTTTATCTGATCCTGATTAAAAAAAATGTAGTGTATCAGCCGATTGTGAATCATACCAGCTGGATATTTAATAGATCTAAATAATATAATATGCAGTTAGTGTATTAGAGATCCAGCAGTCTAATAAAAATTAGATTTATGCAATCTTTAGAAAATGCACTTCTTTCTTACACAAGGCTCTTGTTTGGCCGTTATTGCAGTAATGTCTTTGGCTCAGAGACGGTTGTCTCAGCGCAAGCACAGCAAGCGATGCCCGGTATGCCTCAGGGTTTTGGAGGTAAGTGAATCTGTTTTTCCTTATGTATATAATTACGTAATAAAATATGGATCATGAGTTGCAAGCTCAAATTGCTGATACCACAAACATAATTCAAAAGCAGTTCTTGACTACCTTTGCAGACGAAACCTATTTTTCAGTATTTCCTTCATAGTCCACACGATTGTTATAGGACATCTCTGTTTGACATGGATTGGTCCGGTTTAGGTCTCAGTACTTGAAGTGTTTTCTGTTTTGTCCCAGGGGCGATGAAATATTGTCCAGATTCCATGAAAAGAGTAACAAAAGCCCTTTGAACAGTGGGTGGTCAAAATTTGTATTTTGACCACCCACTGATGAAATGCCACCCTGAGCGGTGAGCCATTATATTAAGTTGTCAATGGTAGTTGACAACTTAATATAAGACTCTTTCTGGATGTCTCAGTTTGTAAATTGTCATTTTGATGTTTGTGAATATGCTGCCGGGCTTTTTTTATGTAAAACCACAGTTTGGAGCTTTATTATCCACTTACTTTATTTCCTTTAATTCATCGGAACAATACCGTTTTATTAAGATGTTGGTTCCAATATTGGAATTCTTTGGAAACCAGTTTGTCACATGCTCGCTCTTTTCTTCTTCTTCTTCTTGTTTTTTTTACCTTCTTCTCACATGCTGCGACTTGACGTTTTCCTCCAGCAGCACCATCAACCAACCCGTTTGTAGCTGCTGGAGTCGCCCCTGCAGCAGCTCCCACCAACCCATTCCAGTGCAACGGCAGAGCGGCGAATATGGCAGCTGCAGCGGGTCTGTTCTTGTGCTTTTTTATCTGTGATTTCTGCTTCTCGTCGTGTGTAGCTGTGGGGACGTGAGGGGAAAACAGCTAGTGAATTATTCAGCAAGTCTGCTGAAGACTCATTTAGCAGTTAGAGCAGATGGGAATATTCTGAATTGAATGAAAAAGTAAGGAGGCAGTTACACTAGTGTTTGCATTCTCTGCATACAGGATAAAGCAATCTGTAAAATCCAGAATTTGAGATTTACTAATTATTTTTATCATGCTGGACAGGCTTGATGAGTGCCCCTCATTGGCAGGGTTTTACCCCCACCTTTGGTAGGTCGCTATGAGGTGTTTGCTTACCTTTCTACTTGTGTGCTGTGAACTGACAGTGACTAATATTTATTGCCATAAATCAATTTCTTAATTAGCTGAAGAAGCAAGAGTTGCATATTTAAAAAAAAAAAAAGCCTTCTGTTGTGGCAAACTTTTTTTTTTTTTCTTATTTGGTGCAGTTGTTTGTTTTTAAACTCTCGTTTCACCTGGTGAAATGTTCACTTCATTTTCATCATGAATTATTTTCTTGTTTTTTTAATTTATCAAATTTTAGCAAAAAAAAAAAAAAAAAAAAAGACAATCATTAAGGTAGCTCTATTTTGATTAAGCACTAAGCTATTTGGTGTGACTTTTTTTTTTAAAATGACAGAAGTGCTGAACAAGTGTAGCTTCATCACGATAGAAGAAATGTGTTCTCTAACAACTCTTCAGACAACAGAGATGTATTTGCTTTGATTTCTTGAAGTAGTTTGTGTTTGTCACCAGAGGAGATTAATTGGTTATAGTCACCATACAGAAGCTCTACCAGTGCATTTTGCATCATCCGTTTGGGTTTGAATGCTGCTGGAATGACTAGAAGAGAATCGCCTTAGTTGGGATGAAAGAAACCGTGGATTTACTAGGTGACCTACAGGGACCTGGCAGGTGATACTTGGTCCAGTGTAGGTCATCTGCACGGATCTAGTACTTAAATGTGTTGTTCCTAAATACTTGGTTAGTTTTACGGACGAATCGGTCCTATTTATTGCTGTATTGCAGGAATGTGGTGCTCTAACTTCCATCTATACAATGAGATGATATTGATGTTGATTACAGGTGGTAATTTAGCAAAGATGCAGACCCAAGAAGGGAATGTATTTTATAAAAACAAGAGGCCTCGCAGCACCCCTCTGTGTCTCAGCTCTTTTAACTCTTAACAGGTGATATTTAAAATATCCGATGCGTGAAACACACATTTTTAGAGCTTACAGATGTTTGAAATCCACTTTTAAGGCTTCAGCAGTCAAATCAGTTTAGAACTGAGGACTCTGTTAAAGCTCAGCCTGCTGTCGTGATCTCGCAGTGATAATATAAGAATATAAATAGTATAATAATAATTACCAAATATGGAAAAACTGATGCACTGACTACAGTAGTTGAATGAAGAATGTTGCTGGGAGCCAAATCCAATGGCCATAGCTGCAAATCAAATGCTTTTAAAAACGTACTCTCAGAGCAGCAAATGACCAAAATGTTTGCACACCGATTTAGATTTTAGAAAGTATGTTGTGGCTAGAGGAGGAGTGAGTCTGTTGAATGCAGAGAGCAGTTTCAGAGTTTCTTACTGGCATTGATTGCATCATTGTAAAAGCAGTTTTGGCAGATCTGATACGGGATTTGAAGTAGGGCTAGAGGAAGCGATGACCCATGAGAGCACCAGGATTGCTGGGTTTGATCAATTTTTTTTTTCTTAGCAGTTCAAAGATCGCTACACTTTCTGAGGCAATTGTCAAGAGCCGGCTGGGACATAGCAGCCTGCATTTTGATATCGGTTCAGAAAGGCTTTAGATGTCTGATTGATTTTAGTGTCACGAAGTCTGTGAGATGGATATTGTGGGTAGCATTGAGTTCTTTATTTTCAGTGACTTTTAGGTGACAGCTAAATCTTTCTGATGACTTATCCACAGCCGAGAACCAAATTTGACAGAGAATCTCTTTAGGACATCGTAAAGATGACGGAGGACAGACGATGTCCTCACAAGCCGACAGATTTTGAGAGTAAATGATTTTTCTGCATACCGTTTGCGCGTTGTTGTAGCTCATGAGCATGCTCGCGTGTCCTAAAAATAAATCTGACATGAAGCAGAAAACGTTTGTTTTAACCTCTTCAACCCCTTTTGGATCTTCTGCCCTGTTGCTTTCTGCTGCGCAGCAGCGCCTTTTGGCACAGGCTCCATGAGTATGCCGTCAGGATTTGGAAATGCTGCCGCCTACAATCTCCCTACCAGCTTCAGTGGAACATTCCAGCAACCCTTTCCTGGCCAGCCCCCCTTCACTCAGCCTCCGGCGTTTCCTCAGCAACCCAACGGTGTGTGTTTGTAGTTCACATGTCCAGTCTTTGTCACGTTGCATTTAAATTGCGTCAATTTGACTAAAACATTCTTAGCTTTATTGTATCTGTTGTGTATTTCGTGTCGTTGTCTATCAGGTGGGGGATTCCCAGCCTTTGGCCAGACGAAGCCTGTTGTGACTCCTTTTGGACAGCCAGTGGCAGCCCCCATGGTCCCTAACAACCCCTTTCTGGTTAGTGCAGCAAGATCACTTTTGGTAGATAAAAACTCTTGTGTCATAGATATATATATATACTTTTTTTGTATTTATTTTAAAATGAGTAATGCACATCAATAAGCGTGGCTGCGTCTTATAAATGTGCCAAATGTCGCCTATAGGCTAAATTACGTCTGCAGCCCAAGACATCACTAAAGCAAATGTACAATAAAAGATGCAGTATATCTAATATACTTACGTAAATACATTAGAATATGGAAAAGTCAATTTGTTATTAACTCAATCCACTCAATAAAACGCATTGTATATATCATTCACACTCAGACTGATATTTTAAAGCCTTTATTTTTGCTTTTAAGTGATTAAAAAAAAATTACACTTACAATTAGATTATTACATCAGACCAATAGAACGCAGAAATGTCAGCTTAATGAAAAATATGTGTAATATATGTTTATGTGTTATTTTGGAAAGGTGCTTTTAATCGGACAACCCGTCTTCATCAGAACCCGTCTTCTCATTTGCCGAATGTGGCCGTAGTGATTTTCATGCTACTTTTTGACTCCCGTGTGTTTTCTCTGCGTCTCTGTTCTTCCCAGGGCGGCGCTCCGCCCGCTCAGTACCCCGCTGGAGGCTCGTCAACCAACCCCTTCTTATAGCGATCCATCTCGTCTGCTGCACAACAGGGTCGACAACCGGCGCGCTTGCACCTATTGCACTGTTTCACCAGTAGCTTTAAAAACACACAACGTTTGTAAGAATCTGTATTTTCTATCGCAGTTTGTCACAAATTAAACAGTGTGCAAGACGGAGGCACTGACGGTGTCTGTGACTAGCAAAAGAAAGAGAGGGGGGAGAGGTTGACCCGCTGTCCTCTGCTGAACCTGTGAACTGGCCTGAGCCACAACGTATATAATCAAACTGGCTGAAAATTAAGTTATTGCATACAGTATATCATTCATCATGCTGCATTTCTGTACATATGTTCTTTTCTCCTCTAGGACGTTAGCTCTTTGTGCATATCAGTATTTGTATAACATAAGATTTGTCGAGACAGGGCTGTCGCTTGGGTACTGCCAGTTTCTGTATTTGTAAAGAACTAAACTGTTTGTGCTGATTCTTTTTTTTTTGGTTAAATTGTTCATACTAAGGAAAAACTTCAGTGACTGAAAACTGAAAACAAGTGAATGCTGCATCCGAACGGCAAACTGGCCGTTCTGCCGCCTCCCTCCCTGCTGACAGAGACCCCGGTCCCAACAATTTTTGAATGACAGTGAACCTCAGACCCACGGGGGGGAAAAGCAGAATGACTGATGGACTGAAAAACCACTTTCATGGGATATTAAAGAATTTTAAGTTAATGTGTAAATATATACAGAATATATATTAAAATGAATTTTAAATAAGATGAAATGACTGAGGCTTTCATTTAGAAATGTATAGGTGCTTCTCAATAAGCTAGAATATAATGGGGAAGTACATCCATATCAGTAATTCAATTCTAAAAGGGAAACTCTTGCTTTTGTTAGCGTGGGCAGGTGCTAATAAGCTCTGCTGAAAACGAAATCGGCAACTCCATGAAGACTGTCAGCAGAGAGAACCGTGAAGTGCTCTTAAAATGTCTTGGTTAACTATAATAGAAGTATAAAATACACTTCAAAATACAACATAGATCAACACCGGCAGGTTACGTGGCTCCCCATTTAATGACCTTCACCCACCTGGTTGAACTTCATTCTTCATTCAGATCCTAAGATCTTGACTTTTAAACAAATTGAAAGTTTAACTTTTCTCTAAAATGTAATGAACAACAGTTCAGTGCCTTTTTTTTTCTGCCTGAAATTTTGCATTTCCATGGTCTGTAAGTCTAAATGTCCCTCTTTTAAATTGAATTACTGAAATTTACTTTTTGTAAATGTTTTTCCAGTTAAGCTGCTCCCACACTGCATGGAAAATTGCTTACATGTGTTTTACTTTAGCGAAAAAACAAAGGAAAAAGGGCGTTTTATTCCATGATTTGGTGCCACGGGGTTACAAAAAAAAAAAAAAAATTACAATATCAGAACTTGTGTTCCTCACAGATTTCAGATTGTTTTCCATCTAAAGACAATTGTTCCTTTTTTATCCTCTGCGCTTTACAGACGCTAAATATTCCCCGTAGCAGAAAAACCACAGAGATGACTGAGAAGTAGCTGGCGTAAATGATGAACTGCAAAAGAAAGCACAACCGCCAGAGGGCGTCAGTAAAACCGCAATCTTAGCGTTTGTGTCTCGCGATCAGATTGCTTACCTGAGGAACAATGGGAAGGCCCAGCGCTCCGCTGTCAACCACGACGGAAGTGATGATGGTCTGCAGAAGCAGAGCTCCAAAGCTGTTGGCCCCAAACACCAGAGCGTACCTTTCCATCGACAGGTCGGCTGCGATTTGATACCTTGCAGGAATACGTTTTTCTGTTTACTAATGCAACATTTGTACAGGTAAAAAAAAAAAAAAAAAAAAAATAGCCTTGAACAAAATGATGAGTCTTACATGGCTATTGTTATCAGGAGCATGTACAGGCACTTGAAGATGGTGTAGGTGGCGTAGCAGACCCAGATGTTTCCAGCGAAAGTCATGAGAAATAATGCAGCAGCTCCCAGCCCTGAGAAGCCACCCAGGGCCAGCTCCCCCCACTGCTCCCACCTCACCTCTGTGAAGCCTATGCCATAGGCAGTTGCTGCACCTGGAAAACACCAGGTCAGCGTTTACCCGACCACAAAATACGGCCGTTGAGACGTCTTTATCTCCCAACCTTCCTTTTTTCGACGGTTTCACTTCCTTCTGTTTTCTGCTTACTTAACAAGTTTGACGCTGCCTCCACACCTCCGTTGTAAATGCTGAAGTTCTGAGAGGGCTGCACGTGCTCCCACAGCACCTGGATTGTACACACACACACACACACACACACACACACACACACACACACACACACACACACACACACACAGATAACAAGAAAATCTAGAAGCAATTGTCACATTTATTTCTACGGCAGTTCGCTCCGAGCAGAACTGCCTTTTTAACTTCAGGATTTAAGTCAAATGTTTTTGGTATCCTGCGTGTTTCTTGCAATGGCTTGCAGGAATGTTCATCTTTGTCCATTTGGGAGACCCATTTGTTCCCAAGCTTTAACTTCCTGGCAAATATCTTGAGCTGCTGCTTCAGTATTTTCACATCATGCTCTTTCCCCATGCTTCAATCTATTTTTTAAGTGCACCAGTCCCTGCTGCATCAAAACACCCCCATAAACTCATCCTGCCACCATTATTTGTACTTCAAAGTTTTGATGGTGTTCTGAGGCTTGCAGGCTTCCCTCCCTTTTAGCTAAATACTCCAACTTAAGTTTCATCATCCTTAGGATATCTCTCCAAAATTTAAAGTATTTGTCTCTGTCTGTTAGCAAAATCTAATCAATTTCTTTTTTTTTTTTTTTTTAAGTAGCTTTTGGAGAAATTGCTTCTTCCTCATGTCTGGTTTCCATGTGGTTAACTGCATTCTCTTACCAGCCTCCAGCAACATCTTTATAAGGTTTTTCCTTTTAATGTGCAGATCGTATGCAAATCTTTCACCATAATGTATTTATTACTGGGACACTGAACCTTTGTGCTACATGGTGATCTCTTTTCATACTTTCTACTTTTAAGTAGTTTTTTTTTTTTTTGTTAACCGGAGCTCTCATAATGCAAGCTTTTGATTGACTATTGACATTTTTTTTTTTTACTTTGACACTGACCTGTATGTAGTTGACAGTCTGGTTATAGCCACATGTGGCCATCGCCCACCACACTGACCAGTACAACAGCTGTCTGGAGGAATAACACTGGCGGAAATCTCTCCATAGCTGCAGAACGACCTGGCTGCAGGACGCCTCCCCTTTTATCTCCTCCGAATCCTCGTCCTCCTCAGCCCGCTGCTCCTCCTTCGTATCTCCTTTGTCTCCCAGGGATGTATTTGATGTTTCTGAGTCGCGTTCTTCACCCTCAGATCCACCCCTGTGCCTCTTTGCGCCTTCCTCTGACGCTCTCTGTCCAGAAAGTTTTCTGTGGAAGAACATGCTTCTCTGTGGCACGGGCAGCAAGCAGGAGGCGACGAGTGCGACGGCTGTGAGCACCAAAGTGAACACGAGGATGTTGTCGTAGGACATGAGGTCGAAGCTGACGAGCAGCTGACCCAGCACCGAGCCCACGGTGTATCCCAGGAGCTGGACGCTGCGGCTGTAAGACGTGGCCTTACGGTATCGTTTTAGATCTACAACACTGTAATAAACAAAACAGGATCATTTAGGATGACTGTCAGGTCCACTCTCTAACTCCACACAGTCCAAACATGTGACTCTGATTGTACTTTTAGTTGCAAGGCGTGACCTGTAGATATAGGAGAAATAGGCCACGTCGCTGGCTGTCACCACCCCGTAGCAGAACTGCATGGCCTGCATGGCCGGCACGCTCTCCGTCCACCTCAGCAGAGCCGTGGTGATGAAGAGCATCACACACTGGAAGACCACCACAGTTTTGTAACGCAGCCAGTCCGTGAGCAGGAAGACCGGCACCAGCACGGACAGGTAGGAGTATGTCCACACAGGAAAAATCTGGTTGTTGACCTGACACGGAGAAATAAGACCAGGAAAACATACAAAAGCAGTTCCAAGTTCTATTTTCCGACCACACTTCTCATTTTCCTACTATCCTCAGAGTTTTTAATAATCCGTTAGACACTTCTCAACCCAATTTTATCCATTTCTGCAATAAATAAAATATGTTTTGTTTGTTTGATGCCAATGATTCATATTTTTTCCCCATGACCACAGGATAATGTCTTTTCACATGGTTATTTAGGAAATTGGAAGCTACATAATGCATCAGCTGGAAAACCGTTGTCCATGGAGTAACTATCCAATGGAAAACTCACACCTATTTGCTCAGTTAAATTCAGGGGGAGGCGTTTTTTTTTTTTTTTTTGGTTGGCAACTCTACCTTCGTCAGCCACCATTTTGGCAGAGTCCTGCTCATCCCTAAGCATTTCAGCTGGATGTTTCCATGCTATTTGCCCTTGCATACACTTGTTTAGAGAGATGAGCATGACACCTCCAGGCATATGAAAATTATACCCAAGGATAAACCAGCCTTCTACATTTCTCTACCTGATATCTGCTGATTTCTTTGCATTTTTTCATAATGTCACACAAAGAAGCCGCTCCTCTGAGAAGTTAAAATACATCTACGAATGTCCCTCCATTGAACTCAGATGTTGTGAACTCATCTACTAGAAGCCAACGAAATCATTACATCATCATTTGGACTTTCCAAATTGTTTAAGGGCATAATAATCTACACGGTGTAAGCCTCTGACTCGGAAGAAAGTAATAAAAAGATTTACTGTGGTGTTGTGCAGAGGCGAGTATTATTCAGTAAATAAACAGGTGAACGTGCATCACTTTATTGGAGTGAGTCACAGGTGTGGCTATAGGATGTTTCTATCTTCCCACTGATTCAGTAATTAAACACATCTGATCAGGACAGAAAAATAAAACACTTCACAACAAACTATAATACAGTACCTATTTTAATTGCTGTGTTTTTGCATGAAATCGAGTAAATCTTTCAAATCAGTTGTTTTCTGACGCCCTTCAGTTGTTCAGCTGTAGTTTTCTACCTGTTCAGTGGTCAGATTCTTGTCTGGTCCTGTCAGGAACGGTATGAGGAAAGGTTCCAGCGGCTTCACCGTGCTAAAGAATCCATAGACGCACAGCAAAGTGGTGGGATATCTCCAGTCTGAGCTGAGTCTTTTCACACTCTCCATGTTTGCCTGCTTTCCTTTGCTATGTGTGTGTGTACTTAGTGGCTGCAGCTACTTTGGTCTTGTGTGCCTGTCAGGTTTAGTCATCTAAAGTTAGTGCTGGTTTTGCCAATCAACAGCCAGGTCAAAGAGCAGCAAGGTGTCAGTGATTGTAAACCATGCTTTCTGGACAAATACGTGGGCTTAATTCTTATCAGAAAATATCTGTTTTACAGCTGGAGATATAAGGCAAATGTTGGTGGGGTGGGGGGGAAACACACACACACGAGGCCAGTCAGCATGTTTTTCAGGCACACGAGTTTTATTGATTATGATCAGAAACGTTCAGAAGAGATCATCTCTCCACCTGGCTGTTTTCCTCTCGTTTCTGTCTGATCCACAGATCGCCGATGTACGCAGGCGGTGTAGATCCCTCGGATCAGAAAGAGAGCTGAGATGGCAGCGTAGTAGCTGCCATATATGATAAACTGCAGAGAGAAACATTTGTCAGTGGCCAGAAACATTATAGTTTTCAAATTAGCCAACAGTATTAAACAAATCCTCTTGTAATGGTCAATCATTACCACCAGGGGTCCCTCCTTAGTCACAAACATATCCTTGTGCTTTCAGTTAGAGTTCAGCCCCAACCTTCTGCCATTTAAAAAAAAAAAGGAAGCAATAAAACAATGAGTGAAAACAGCGTACCTGGGTGACAATGTCCAGTCCCAGTGCGGTTTCATCCACAACAATGACCGTGACAATAGTCTGCAGTAAGAGGGCTACGAACGTGTTGATCCCAAACGTCAAAGCGTAACACTCCATGGAGAGGTTGGATGCTATCTGGAATCTACAGAAACACAATCAGGAGAGGAGCCCTTCTTTAATACTAGACTAATGGAGATATTCGTGATCAGAGTTACTTGAAATTACTTGAATAAATTACATTCCATCTTCATGAAAAAGAGTATCAGTGCACTGCTACTTGAGTTCCGCGACCCACACTTCACCATTAGCCAAAGTTATTATGTGCCAATATGTTGAACTTTAAAAACAATGCAACTCTAGATAATTGATAATATTTACATTATGACTCTATACCCAGAAACTGATAAACACTTGTTCCCTCTGAGGACCTGTTGACACTTTTCATAAGCTTGTTGTATTTCTCGATAAGATTTTTCTGCATCGTCACTGTATTTTATTTCAAATTTTATGAAAATCGATTTGGCTCTAACTTCAGCATAACAAATAAACATCTGAAGAAGATATCAGACAATACCACAGAAGTAAGATTTATGTATCAAGCCAAAGTTTTATGTTTAAACCGAGAATTTATCTCCCTCATAAGAATCCAAGCTTTCACATCCTTTGATTTTTAAATTTGGGTCAAACAGATGAAAAGTTCACCATAAGTGAACTTTGAGTGAAAAAAAAAAGAGGAACTACATGTTGAGCTTACATTGTGATGGTAATGAGAAACATGTAGCAGGATTTGAATAAGACATATGCGGCATAGCACGCCCATATACTGCTGGTGAACGCCATCAGATACACAGCACCTGAGCACACGGCCGAGAAGAGCCCCAGGGTCAGCTCCCCCCATGTGGCCCAGGTCACTCTGATGAAGCTCACGGAGAACGCTGCAGCGGCACCTGAAATATGAACCAGATAACTGGTTGTTCCATGTACATCCTACCCATTTCGATTCATTAATTTACCCCGAGGCCATCGTCTCTTTCCTCAAGCGCTGACAGTAACAAATCGTGTGCATCCTTAAGCTGGTCTCCTTAGCCCGGCTTGATAAACCTCTTGCAGGATGCACTTAGAATCTACCACCAGCAATAATCAGAGAATCCATTAACTTTTGTCTGTCTCTTTAATTGAAGCAATTACTCTGCTTCCCCTCACGCTGAGCCAGGCTGAGCGTGAGCCAAAAGGAACCCGATGCTGCTGTTCTCTTTCAAAATCAATACGCATTTTCCATTTAATCAGTCACCACATATAACCAGCCCCAGTGCGCTTGTATTTTTTATTTTATTTTTTTCGTTGATTGTGACTTTTACATGTCTCGGTGTTATCAGGCGTGGCAGGAGCTTTAAGCAATGTTGTTAAATGTTACTTGCTGGATGTGATGCAAGTAGAAAAACTTGTGCTGTATAAGGATTTTTTTTTCCTAGAAAACTAAAGTCTCAAAGGTATTTCTCTGATTTACCTTATAATGATTTGTTTCAGTGATATTTAAACAATTTTCAAAAGGTTGAGGTACAAATAATAACTTCAGACTCACCAACAACAGAAGATACAGCTTCTACAGCTCCGTTATAGACAGATGACGTGGCAGATGGTTCTATATGGTCCCACTTAAGCTGGATGTAGTTAAAGATCTGCATGTAGCCGGCCGTGGCCAATGCCCACCACAAGGACCAGTACACTAAATGCCTGCATGGTGAAAAATGAGACAACATATTATGATGAAGGGTATCCGTAAAATGCACAGTGCTTTGCAAAAGCATTCATGTCTTTTTAGCTTCTTAATGTTGAGTAAAGTTACCTATTTAAAATTTCATGTGACAGACCAACACAAATGTGCATTTAACTGTGAACTGGAAGGAATGGGAAACAAACACCTGATTTTTAACTGTTTCCCAGAAAAAAAAAAAAAAAAACTGTGGAGGAAGTTCGCTGTTCAACTGAAGATTGAGCATACAGATATAGTGGAAGGGGTTTGGATCAAAGCATATTCCTCCTTAGTTAGTGAAAATCTGAACATAAATTCAGTTGAGAATTTGTGGCAAAACTTGAAAACTTATTTTTACACACACTTTTCATCCAATCTATGTGGCTTGAGCTAAAAAGACTCAGAAATGTCTGTTTCTTGTTTTCAAAGCTGGTAGAAATGTTGCCCAAAAAGACTGGAAACTGTTATTGAAGCAAAAGATGATTCTACAAAGAATTGACCGATAGAGGCATATGCACTCCATTATAGAAAAAAATTGAAACCATTTATTATTTTCCTTGTACTACTGCTTCATGTTGATCTATTACATAAATCCAAGTGAAATACACTGAGGTTTGTGACTATAAAAACTTTCAAGGAGTACAAACATTTTTGCAAGGCACTGTATGAGAAACACACCTGGAAGAGTATGATTCCTTAAAGCTTTTCCAAAGTAAGAGACCTGCAGTGATCACACTTTCCCTGCTGCAACAGCCAGCACCGCCAGCATGCTCCGTCTCTTCGTCCTCCAAGGATTCTCCATCCTTGTCCGCCTCTGAATCTCTCTGTCTGTCGTTTCTGAGTGACCCTTTTTTCTGCGACCGGGAGCCCACAGCCTCTTCCGGTTTGAAGAACATGGTCCTTTTGGGCATGGGCAACCAGAAAGAGACTAGAAAAGCTGCGCAAACAATCCCCAGGGTTATAGCATTTAAGTAGAAATAATCCACTCCTGTGAATGAAACAGATAATAATCAGAGTTTGCACAACGTTGGGATCACAGTTTACACACTAGCTCTTTTTTGTTATGCATAAAGAAGAAAAGTATATCATACTGCTCGTTCCTTTAGAGTATTGATGAAAAATCAACATCAGCATCTTTTAAAAATCATTACCTCCAAGGGAGACAAGCATTTGGCCAAGGCTGGCACCAAATGTATAGCCTGTGAGCATGGCGCTACGCAGGTAACTTGTGGCTTTTTGATAGCTTTCTAGTGGAATCACGCTGTAAATATAAGAGAAGTAGGCGACCTCTGTGGAAGTCACTATTCCAAAGTTGACCTGTAAATGAGACAAGGCAGTCTTCCAGAAGCTGTTTCTCATTATGAGGCATTATTCACTAGCAAATGTGTTTACTGTAGTTAGAGGACAAAACACAGTGTTACAAAAGTATTTGCATCCCTTGAACGTTTTATCACTGTCACATTACAACAGCAGACTTTTATGTGATAGACTGGTGGAGAGATAATGATACATGACTTTAGGGAATTTTATTTTAACAGATGAGTAGGACATCCATGTTTGTTTGGCCATGCATTTCTATTTACCCACCATGAAATAGAAATGCATCAGAGTTTGCACAATGTTGGGATCACAGTTTACATCTAGCTCTTACAAGAAATGCATTGTACTACGGAAATGCATTTCTTTGACAGAGACAAGGAAGCAATGAAGAAACGTTTGTGTTTTAACTCTGCATTACAGCTGTTACAGGACGGGTATCTTACTGACCTGAAGGAAGGTCATTGCAGGCAGGCCAGGGGCAAAGGATAGCAAGAGATAGTTACTGACAAGAAAGAGTCCCTGTACCATAATGACAGGTTTGTACTTCAGAAAGTCAGTCAGGAGGAAAACTGGAAAAAGAAAGGCCAGGTATGAGTATGTCCAAACAGGAAACAGATAGTTGGTCACCTGCAAGTAAAAAGCAGCAAGAACAGAAATGCTGAGTCAGACAAAATTACTGAGTAAATTGTCA